TTGTAACAACGACACCATTTGTTTGTAACTATTCTTCATCGTTATTGATACTGATCGACAATAATTTATGACCTAAAGAAAACGCTCAACAGAGGAAAACAATTCCATTTGTCAAGTCGAGATGGGTGGTGATTCTTGTTGCAATTGCAAAATCGTACAGCAAAGAAAATGTGGCGGATGAGTCATATGCAAGACGAACAAACTGAGCATTTCTGCGACCCAAATGCATTTTGGAACGTGATTGCTGAATGCATTCACAATTAGACTAATAATTCCATGAAATGATTTGAAAATTTGCTTGATTGGAATGCGACAAATGAAGCAACAAGAGAATGACTGCCTAGAAACTGAAAATCAACAAAGATGTTTAGTCATAATTCAAAAAAGCGTTTGGTAGCAATTGCTATACACATGTTTACACAATAAAACACTCTGAAATTTTTGTGCACGTTTCACTGCGGAATCGTATTGAAGCCATCTAAATGTCACACATCATCCACATAAAATCACATAAAGACGCAATCCTTTCGCATAGAGCAACTAGTCGAGTCTTCTTGCTTACGTTTCGTATGGCTCAGGTCAAACCACTGATATGATATTACCAATGGCATGAGAAGATGCATTATTTCGAGCGGTGATCTTTGGAAAAAAGGAAACATTTTTAATGCCAACTTCATCTGAGTGTAAGTAGCTGTTCATAAATCAATATTAATGAGTGGGGAAAACAAATCACTGCGATAGCAGGAGGATGGATAGTTTGATGAGGACGATGATTGAATGGAGTAATGCAAATCAAACGACATGAAAATTGAGAAGAATCGTGAAAAAACGATCGCAAGCGAAGTTATTCGTAATTCTCGACCGGTGAGAATGAAGCTCTATCATAGGAAGAAGCAACCAGAAGGAGTGAATCAAAAGAAAGATAAATAAGAAGCAATTGTTGATATTTACTCGTAGAGATTTGGATGATATATGCCACCTCAACGGCGCAACACATTTGTTTTCACGCAAAAAGGCGGATCGAATGAATAGAAACTGGGGCCGTAAATATCGCCCCATCATGATAATTGAAAACGTGGTTTACTGTTCAGTTATTAGATATTGTTGATTTCACTTCACTGGCATTCGGCTGATTGATACGTGCGATGCAGATGCTGAATGTTTACAGCATTTTCAATCGAACACTCTCGTCACTGAGCCATATTAAAATTTTATTAAACATCGTTGTATCAGTTGGCAGAAGTAAGCGCTCCAAAGCGTAACAAGTAACACCTGTTTATACTGAATGTCGACTGTTTGTGATTCATATGAACGTAAACAACTTTAGTGAGAACAATTATAAACAACATTATATTACAGTGCGCTGAAGACCATCCTCGATTGTTGTTGAACTATGATAGATTTCATTGTAGCGAAAGAAAAGCGGCGACGTTTTCGCAAGAATCCAAAATTGAATGAGTTTTTGTTCATCGACCAATGCAGAGAATAAGGAAAACACTGAAGTAAATTGTATGGCATCTGGAATGCCGTAAGAATGGCATACAGCAACTGCGCGTTGAATGTTGAAATAAACAAGTGAAATTAGCGACGGATGGTTATTGGTGTCTTTCAGAATGAGTTTGATGGGCATGATCACGAACGAGTAAACAAACAACTGCGATACATTTCGTAACAGCAAAATCACTCATGAGAGAAATGCTATGCTTGAGTAGAGCTCTAAAAGAAAATCGCCAATCCATTCAAAGCATTCAAAAGGAACGGATGCGTGCGCACCGAATGAAACAAATAATTATGGCGTGCAGTCAGTGACAGCGACGGAACGATATCAGCTGTCAACGTAATTACCATAATCGTTGTTGTTATTGTTATGCTCACACACAACCAATCCAAATAATTGTTCGTTTGATTAGCCATCAATTCACTTCATAGTAAATAATCGAAATGTTCTGTTATGATGGCTGTCATGATGTCTTCGATTAGGACCAAAATGAAATTCTCAGAAAATTGACACTCCTTTATATCTTCAACAGAATTGTTATGTTCGTAAGTAATTTCAAATTGAACGCACGTAAAAACAGCGCACTACCCTCCATGGACAATGTCTTCTGCCTGAATCGAAATGTGTATAAATGCCTTATTGAGGGGGGAAGCCACTGAACAGCTGATTCTTTGGCAGAATAATGCTGCTGATTAGGCGAATATTACATGAAGCTTTTTGAACGAAGGTAGGATTTTATGATTTGCTGGTAATGTTGTTATTGTTATTGCTTCACATTCTGTTATTGTTACGAGGCATGATTCAACAACGATTAGAGATACTGGTTTTTAAAAGCCTTGAAGATGTTTAATTCGATTTTAGTAAAACTGGTTGATGATACGGATGATTCTACAGAGGAAACGATGACATGAAATTGTTAATTGAATTAAGCGTGGCACATGAGCTATGATCACGCTCTGCTTATGGGCCTCGGCGATCACAACTGATATTTGGCCGAGGCAAAACGTTTCAGAATGAATTATCATCACCTCTAAAAATAAATTGAAACCAACGACGTTTGGTGATGACCTATCCATTAGCTTAAATTCGATTCTTGTTTTCTTGAATTCACGTCAAAGTTATTAGAGGCTCATTTCGAACGATTCATCTACAGATTCTATTCAGGAATGGAAAAAATTTGAACAGTAGAAAGAAAACTGTTGGTGAAAATGAATTCAAACGTAAGATAATTCGTGAAAACAGCGTGTGACTCTAAAATTTCTTAATAAAAGACCAAGAAAATCATAAAGGAGAATTCCGAGTTCATTAAAATGAGCAGCACACGAGTGGTTTAGAAAGTCGCTGAAGTTATAAGGGCTTTAAGAATGTGGATGAATCAAGGCATATTGTAATATAAATGGTTGCAGTAATACCTGTTTAAATGCGTCTTAACATGACAAAGCAGTGTTGATGAAAAACAAGTGAACTGCAGCTGTCACAAAAACAACATAAAAGTTAACGACAAATACAGTTTAACTCGAAAACAGGTTACAAATAAAAGGGTTGCCAAAACACTGTATGTTATGGGGTCACAATAATCGCTTCAATTTATGGATACTGACTCATTCGATTGCGATGCTGTAAAAAAGCGATCGAACTACGTCTTTCGACTATAGAAATACCAATCAAAACACTTGAAGTAAACAGGAAGTAAGTAATCAACACGGTCAATTGCAATAAACAAATGTTTTTCGATGCTGACGGCATGTAGAATTATGTATTTTATTTCGTTAATAGTAAGAATAATGTGAATTTGATCGAATTTAAGAGATTATAATTTAGGATTAACTTCACTGTTGTTGAGTATCCTCAAATAAGAAATGATCAATTCGAGTGGACCGTCGGTCCAGTCAAGTTCAAAATACCGGATGAGAACACACTGAAAGGAAGGAAGAGCATTCACATTCAAGAGAAACATTGGTCCAGCATTATCGATAATCATTTGCAAACTTCATCACAGCAACAGGGTTGGTGAATTTTGGTGATTCACCTATATATAAACGCACAAAACGCGAGTAATAATAAGAAGAAGATATGCCGAATTTTATAAATTCATTAAGAGCAAGTACAGTCATGCCTGAAGGTATCAGAGATACTTCAGCTGCTTCATTATGACCCAAATTGCCGCAGCTGTTCAAATATTCAGCCAAATTCAAGACCATTAACAAATCAAGCCCTTCGTTATTGTTCGAAAATTGCGGCAGTCAAAATGGCGGCCTGTTCAACTCATACCAACGACAACCGCAGTGGTAACCATTCAGCTTCTACACTAACTTCTCAGTATTGTTCAGCCCCAGTCTCGAAACAAAATCAAATAGGGACAATGAAAAAATGAGGAAAAAACATCGATTCGAAGAGTGATCGGTTCCATGCTAACGGAACAATCTGTATTGAAAACAACATAAAGTAAATGAGCAACATGACAAAAAATAAATTTCAATTGAGATTGCAATTGCAAAGAATTTTTCACAAAAACGATAAGGATACGTTGAGAAATATTGATAATATTCAATAAGTGTGGTTAATGTGCTTTATCAAGATAGTGATGATACAGCGATGGCTGTTGGTTACAGCTTGATACTCGAACAGTCACTCCGCTGGCAGACAGCAATCATCAAAGGTTTTGCTTGTTTCATTCATCGAATAAATTCATATGTTATTGGTGCACGTTTCGTGCTAATTTCACTGTCGTTTTCACTCAAAAATCTGGAAGCCCGTTGCTGGAAAAAAGAAATAAAACGAATTACAATGAAACGAATCTAGGTGAACATTTCGAATTAATTATGAACGATAATTCGAACGGATGACAGTTTTTGTGCATTTTAATGATAACCGAACAACTTGTTTGTGATTCTGTCTGATTTTTTTTTTGTTGAAAAAAATGCAACGGTACAGTAGGCGAATGCACAATAAACTGTAAGCAATATGCAACTTTTCATTCTATCATTCGTAACATGCATCAGCATTAATGAAATGTACTCAGATAGCAGACACTGATCCGTAATTATCGGATGGCCTCATGCAATAAAACATTTTTCCTGTGCTTTTTTCCATCTCAGCAATAATCGCACAGAAGATTGACGCTTGTTGCATGGAAATTGCAGTGCATCGCACTGCTCTACGCAATCTCGCACGAATGGATTTCGTTTAAGCGCATTACGAATGAAACCATTTTCAGTGCAAATTTTAAACGGAATGAAAATGATGAGAATGAAAATCACTTAATAATGGTGAACCAACGCCGATCCCCATAATACGTATCATTTCGACAATTATTAGTTTCATTACGTTCTCTTCGATCAGTGGATGCCAGCCACGACTGATTTACTGCTTCGTCAGATGACTATTGAGTTATAATTTCAGTGTTTATACAAAAGGCAGGATCATGTCTGCTGGTGGTAATAATGGCGTAAAGGCGTTATCGTCGCTTATTACGGATCAAGAAATGATTCGGTGGTTACTTCTACCGCTTAAACTATGATAGCCTTGATATAATCAGTAAAATTAAGCGATAGATAGCAGGCAGAAAACAACTGAACAAACCCTAGTTGCCGTATCGATATGATCTCCATCGCAGAGCAACGAACTGAGTGCGTCAATTATACCGCATCGGTTGAATAATGGCAGATAGATGGTACATCGCCTTGTGACAATTTCAAGTGCATACACCATCCGCTCCAACAAAGAAGAATCCATATCGGGTCGTAACACTAAAGGTGGTACCAGAAGTATGTTACTAGCGCATAGCCAGTGTGTCTTCGAAACACTCGCACCGGTTAGAGCGTTTGCGACAGCCCAACCAGCCTCCTACAAACTAAAATTCTTATGAAAAGTTGACGTTCACTAGTCTCATTTGAGCTTATTTCATCAACTCAGTTCACCACACACAGCACTGCTTCGAAAGTGGGCTGTCAGGGGTAGCGCACCTTGTTGAAGAATGAATTTTCTCTCAATGAAACGATACCTTCTTGACTCCCATATCGTCTCCTCGAGCAGCTTCAATAATCAATGTGACAAAATCGCCATTCCTTGAATCGAATAACGTATCAATTTGCGAAGGTGTTCCAGCAGCGATATTACTGATGATCCATATCAGCTCCTTACGTTGCACGTTACCTTTACAATTTTTCAACAATTGACCCTGAACGTTTTTGGAATAAAAAAATCTTGAAACGATAAGATCGAAAACAATAATGAAGACCTGAGAAGGGTAGTGTTGATCTTATGATATGGGATGACTTGGAGAAACTTATCTCGCTCGTTGTTTATAAAATGATCTTTCTTCTCTTCTGAAGTGTCCTCAACGTATCATCCACAACAAAGTAGCAGTGGTATGAATCATCAAATCAAAGTTGCTGATAGCAATGTTTCCTACGTTCGAAAAAATGCTTAAAATGCCGAGAATACGAACCAGTTTTGGAAGTATAGCGGCATCGAGAACCACTTGCGTTTGGTCGTCATCACCTGCGACAATGTTGCCGATAACGCGAAGAGCCGGAGCTACAGTTATCGGATCGTCCAAAAGCACCATGAGACGTTCGAGAAGGCCAGGCATTTCAAGAATCATGTTCACCTGAAGAGAGAAAATTGCGTTGATATCATCGACATTATTGCTGTCGCCTTAAATTTGGCCATTATCGCCATTCGTTTCTCATTTTTGGAATATTTGAGTTGGGTGCTTTTATCTGCTTCATGCTAAACGTTCTTCAGTGTCCGACGTAGGTGCTACTTGAGTATAGTAGGTGTTGGAGCTAGAGCCAAAAAAANAAAAAAAGAAACGCAAACTACATCCAGAAATTAGGTAGCGTAGTTTCAAGCTGGAATTGAGAATGGACTTCTGAAATATTCGCAGTTGGAGCTGGAGCGCAAATTTAAAAAATGCAGAGTCGAAGCCGAAATTTTGAAATGTGCGGGGCTAGGGCTAAAGACGAGGCGAAAATTTTGCAAATGTGGAACCGGAGCTAGGTCATCCTTTTCAAATTAGACATCATTGATTATTGTTATGAGAAGTGGGAAACAGTGAGAATAGAATGTTGAAAGGATACCGGTTCAGCGTCATTGAAGCCATTCGCAAGATACGCAATACACCAGGTTGCGTCCCCTCTTAGCTTTTGATCATCGACGAAGAGCAACGGCAGCAAACCCTCCAAAGCGGCTTGAACTTGCTGCAAATAATTTCTGCAATATTCTAGCAACAATACGTTATGAATTGTTCAAAGTTCAATGCGTCTTTCGAACTGTACACACTCACTTAATGAATAATTCGAAAGGCGCATTCGAAAGTCGGAATATTCCATGGTGTGTTCATGGCCTTTTCCGGCTATTCGCAATTGTATAACCAGTGCACAGTATCACATTACTGGTCAAAAGTGAACATGTTGTGCTTAATGGATGTATCCATCCCTATGAAGTAACGCAGTTCTGCGAATTCAGTTGATGTTGCGTAACTTACTGCAGGTGGAATATGCATTGAACCGCCGCGGAGAATCTGTGCCATTGCCCAAACAAGATTACGTCTGTAACGAGAGTGCAGAAATTGCGTTCGATGAATGACGTTTATCATGGTAGCCAATGCACTTGTCTGTCGTACCTGAGAGTAGAGGTTGCAGCATTGCTAGCACAATTACTAACGGTCATTATCTGTTACAGCTGCCAACTAGTTGGGTATTCTGAGAAAAACGATGCTTCAAACATTGGAACATGTCAGTCTTTTGAAAAATATATGACTTCATTGACAATTCAGATGCAGAGTGGCCTAGAAAACAGCGAAAATTGGCCAATGTTAAAATTTCCAGGTGTCAATTGCACATTCAGATAGCATCGAGTTTTTGAAGTGGGACATCACATGAGGTGATATGTTTTTCTTGCATGATTCTCTTTCATTTGGAAATAAGCTTACAGCCATTCGGCAAATGACGCAATCAGAAGCGATATTTCCAATGGCCCAAAACGCCTGCTCTCGAACTTCTTCATCCGTATTCCTTGCGCAATCTACCAACGCGTCAACACCTTCCTGACATATGAATATGTGCAATGAGCATTTCAACTTATGATGACAGTGAATGAACCAATTTTTTTCTTTAAAACAAATGGATAAAGTACCCCAAGAAATTCATTACTGGTATTCTATTCATGTAGAATAGCGGAGAATCGACAATTATTTGAAACATACAAAAGATATTATTTTCTGGCAATATTCATGAGGACAACATGCAAGGTTTGTTAATGCCCATGCCGCGTCCCTTTGCATAAATCCATAATTGATACGTACACAACGCACCAATTCTTTGATCTGAAGCAAAAAATTCAATGCAGAATGGCAGATTCATGAAATATCGTCAGTGCATTCTTCAGCTAAGCTCACTTCACTGCAGCAAACAGAAATTTTAGTCCAAATAAATGTGCGGTCTATGTCGTATGAAATAAATCGCTGGTTTGACGAGAACAGGTTTTCCAACAGCATACCAGGGTATCGGCAAATTTGGCAGCGGCGTTACCGTCGTAGACCAACAAACGACGAAAGTACTCTACAGCACAAGCCTAAATGATTTCTGTCAATAGTGTATGAAAGATGTGATACCAGCAATGCTCGATATACACTAGCAAGCGAAAATCACTGAAGATTATTTCAAGAAAGCAAAAGAAAGTAATAATCAAGACGGCTTGATTTTAGATATTTGGCGATGACGGAAAGGTCAACAATGAAACGATTGTCTTCATCCTTTAAAATGCTCTAAATAGCAATCTTCATAAACTGTCATCAGATATCATCAAATGTTTATTCGAGTTTCTTTATGTGAACTGAAAAATCATAAAACCGCAACGGCTCCACCTGAGCTATGACCGAATGTTCATCTGACATCATTTTCAAGTAATTATCGGCTTCATTAGCGCTGAATTTCATGTTCAAATTAGAGCCGTCCTTTTGCAACACTGAAGACACCTCTGCCCCAAACATCCCAACCAAATAACCACGTCCGAGTAATGTGTACAACGAAAGTACCATAGAAACCAACTCCCACTTTATTTAAGCAATTATTACATGCAAATTAATGAATGCATTGACGAAAGGTTTTGAATAATTTATTCAGAACAAATTCATGTTACAGTTTGCAGTTGATCATAATGCTTCTTATGTTATCGACAATCGCTGCAGTGAGCGTCAATCATCTCTAATCGTAAGTAATAAACTATCAGCAATGAATATCTATCTCAAGATACACAGTTAAAAATCTTCACATTCATACAAGAGTGGGAAGTCGATTGTTCAGGTGATCACGGATAGGTGGAAGGCTGTGAATGCGATCGATGTGTGCAAGAATGCTTGGGTGAGCATCCAGGCAACCTTCCTCGCCGAAGTCAACAAACTTCGAGAAAAATTCTGCGGCAAACACATCAACCCACGTTACCTGAAACTCGACATTGATAGGTTCTGAGACAAGCACTGTCAAATGGTGTACCGTGCATTAAGAAATAATGTTGTCAGCGATGAATAGCCGCATGAACAGTTAAAATTGAAAGTGTGATCAAGTTAAACAGTGAAAACAACAATTGATTCCTATTCCGATAATCTGCACGAAACTCGATAGTTCACGAGAAAGCAACATAAATTTCTGCAAATCAGAGGGAAACACGAAAAACCTTGTTGCCGATTAGAAAGCCGTGAGGATTCCGTTCGAGGAACTGTTCAATGAGAGGTGCGAACGCAGCCAAAGCAGGTTGCACTCGCCGTTTAAAAAATTCTGCCTTAAAATTGATTCGTCAACAAACATCACAGAGTCACAATTCGAAAACACTATAGTTCAAATTTTACGATCGATTCGATTGTTCCCTTAGACGTCCCACTGAATTTCCTTCTCATCAACAAACCGATCGTATTTCGAACGTCTACTGGCATAAATTTCCACCTTGTCTTTTTTCTTGAATCTGAGCAGCACGTAGGGCCACTGTCTGATACCATCAGCGTTGTGAGCATCTGATATTAAGTCAGCAACCATATCCAACTGAGCGTTTTCCAAGTCATCACGGCCATCTAACTCTGCAAATGTATTCTTCTTCGGTGCTTGCAACATCATCTAATTTATTCGCTGGTCATCAGTAATAAATTATGCTCTATTTTTGTCTGGCTAACTCAGAAAAGCTCTTGCAGATACTAATCGCTCTCTTCACTTCAACCAATTCACCGTTTAATTGGGTAAGCGAAGTGTCATTAATGACTGTCGAGTGAACAACGCTCACGGAATTTATGACCGAGAAATCGAGCGATTGCAACTGATTGCGCAATCCTGACACCATCCACTTCCAGCACTGGAACCTGCCCCAGGGGCATCTCTGGAAATAGCATTGCATGTTCCAATGTTGCATTCGGTAAACGAGTATGAACTGGAGGTTTGAACGTAATGTTCATCACGTAATCATAACTAAACTGAAGCAAAAAAAGCTCATGAATTAACCATTTCTGTACTTTGGCCACGATTCAGGCGTGAGAATGATATCATCAAAAGGTACTCCAGCCAATCGGAGTATTTGTCGAATATGTTCGCCTCGTCCACGCCCAGTGAAATAATAAAGTTTATAAACTGACGATCTGTAAGTCGAGCTGCAAATGCAATGAAAGGAATGAGGTCACGTGCACTCACTGCAGAAGCACTTAACAAATGAAATTTTCGGCTGCGAAAGAAAAAAAGATATTGTTTGGGGTCGCTAATCGTTTCTTTCAGTTCACGCTTCACGTTCAGCTGATGATGGCTACTTATCTGGTTCCGGTCAATTTTAAAATTCTTAATCCCTGACATTTTCCAGTCATGTGATATTGCGTTTAAAAATTGCTTTATTTCAGAGTTTACGATCGATATGAAGCCAATGAATGTGGTCAGTGACATTCATTGGCTTCATAATATCGCTGAAAATATGAGTAGATGAGGCTTTCCAAATCAGCGAAATTATGGGTTGAACAAGAGATAAGCTGAATTACATTAATTAATGCAAACGAATTGCATACTTTTGTGGTGAATGGCCATAAGTGGGACCACCTCAGTCAATGAATCAATGAAATCAATCTTACTCGCTCACTGGAAATCAAATCGTCATGAATAAAACCAAGAGCGGGACATATCAAGTGTTTATGGGGCGAGGTGTGTAGCGACGACTGATCCCTACAGCACCCTATTGCCAACAACACACAATCTAGTTATCTTGAAATTGAGTTTCTCTGAGCTGATGATCGTCTATTGTTCAGTGTGGAATATGAATACTCAAGAATGAACTTACTCAAGTCGCTTTTCACACAAAGCCATTGAACAGACGACGCTGAAGAATTCTGCAGTTAAAACGTGCTGAATGTTGTTGAAGTGTGGAGGTGATCATGTTGTTTGTGGAATAAAATATCACATCTAATTCGGTCATTTGAAGACACTTTCCATTTAGAGGACCCGTTGGCTGTACATTTCAGTTCGAAAAAAAAACGAAATGATAGAAGGTGTGATTGAAAACGAAAAACAATCGAAAATTGGGTCATCAATGGAGATAACGTCTGAAAAAGACAAGCGTGAAAGTGATCAATTCAACTGAATATCTTTTCAAACCAACTTTTGATTTATTATGAAACAAATATTTCTTGTTGCAGTGATACTCGATCATTCAATGATTTCGTTTGACTAAAACAAAACTAAATTCGTAGGATTTCCGAATTGGAGGGGCGAGAAATAATAATTTCACGCATTAGATTCCGAATATTTCATTATGGCTGACTGCTTCCATTTCGTCAACACTTCTGAATTAACTGGGGCTGCTTTGTTAAGAAATCGAAAATCAGGAATATTATGTTGCTGAATCCGAGCGAAACATTTGCTTCTGAGATGAATTCTATGAATGATTTCTAAGTTCATGCGCGAGTGAGTAAAAATAAGTAGTATCTATGAATAAGTAATGCGCAACGTCGATGCGAAACAGCACTAGCTTTATTGCATCATTTCATGAATTTCAAGCGATGTTATTCTCAGAAACATATCGTATGACCACGCGAGTATCATTCACGCCTTCTCGCATCTATGAGTGCGATACTTGTTAGAGTTAATATTCCAAAAAAAGATCTCTTCGAAAACATTTGTTTCGAGGCATATTGCGTCGTTGTAACGTGAAATTGAGATGGTCGGACAAGAAGGTGATGACTCAGGCGTATAATTTCCTGGGACCACGCAGAGTGTCATCTTTATTGGTGCATTGTGCTTATGCTAGCACAAAACTCAGTGTGGCGAACATTATAAATGGTGTTCCGGAATACGGACACGCAAGCGAGTTCATGCCGAGGACATTTAGGAGGAGAGGTCAGTGTCAGAATCAGTCTTAGCCTCAGGCTCATTCTTCGGTTTGCAGTTAGATTATATTCAGACAAAAGTGCAACGTTCGAAAAATGTAATGTACTATGAATTATCGTCCAGCTGGTTATTGCGGCGAAGTGGTCAAAAAAATCACTATGTTGGGACCACGCAGCGTGACGTTCAAATAGACAATACTTCATAAAGAACAACTCTGAAAATCCCGTCAATGGGATCTCCCATTCATTCGAACCTTAAGCGCAAGTTCAATGATAGTGATACACCACTTGATTTCCAGCAAAACTTTCCTCCGCAGACAGGAATCGGGCTCGCAATGTACCAGTTACCTGTTGGGACTCTGCCTCTGAGCTAAGATTCATGCTAGTACGAGACTCCAAAAAGCTGGTCGTTCTAATCTCTACTGTCTTCCGAATATCTCGCAATAACTCCAGGAAAACATGCTGATGATGAAATGCACAGTGATGCTGAAAAATGCTGATGGACGAAAAAGTGATGAATGTGTTGCTGTTTTGATCATGTGATGTTTCATGCCCATTTAACTGCTGTTTATTGGAGGGTATAAAAAAGCATACACGAACATTTAAGTTCTATTTATTACTGAAATGAACAATGACCGGATATTCATAGAATTGAAACGATATTTTCACATTCATTCACCAACTGATTGAGAAGTATAAGATTCCATCCTCCATTTCTAAGAACAACAAGACACTCAAAAAAGATCCTCTACTGAATCACAAAATCAGTTCCAATCTCTGACAGATTCTTTATCCGAATCGCACTTTACTGGCCCAGCTGGCGCGTTTTCCGAATCGCAATTTACTTGCCCATTTCTTGATTCGATCGGCGTTCTCCCATTCCTTAAACACCAAAATATGTATTCGTTCAAGTTGAGACTAAATCTCTTGTGCATCTCAGAGCATCGCAATAATCTGTGGGTTAGCCGTAAGGAAACTAAACTTCATCCGGCCTCACGAACACGAACAAAGAGTTTCAGTTGAAAGCTCACAATGAACAAACAACGTGTGAATTGCCCAATGAATGCTCGCAATAAGATCGATCCACTTTTAATTACTCTACCACTGAGTTCGCGTGTTCCCACACGAGATGTTTTCAATGTACGAATTCATTTCATCAAAACATTGCGTGTCAAATGGAAAATCACGCCTCGGCTACTGTAGTTTATAATAAATATCAATGTCCGAGTTAAGACAGGTGAAGGACAAGAAAAACTCACAAGTGGAAGCATCGCAGAAGAGTCCCAGGCTGTTAGAGGTGAGTAACTCCGTTCATCATCAGCCAGTTCTCTTCTCAGTTCTGACTCGGATTGTGCTGATGAAAAATCACCTGCAAGTAAAATGTGAAGAACGTTTTAGGAAATGTCAAAGAACATTTTGTTCGCACTCATGGATTATTTGAAGTAGTGCATTGTGGCTGAGCAAGTTACCGTAAGACATCAATTACTGCGAAACTCAAAAAAGCAATGTGAAAGTGTGTGATCCCAAAAAAGGAATAAGCGATCTCCTAATGTCATCATTTCTTTTCTTTGACATTTCTTCTGAAGTATCGCGTCGTGAAAAACTGATATTGCGGAGATACCTCTACTAATTTTACAGAGATACCTCTACTGTTCACAGTGGTGATACAAATATAGGATGTATTATCAGTATCAATCAAATCCTTTGCGATTTGTTCAGATTTGATCACTTCAAATGCTTGAAGTTTAATGTGTCATGCAGCAGTTATTATACCTCTGTTACAAAATCTTGTTTACCATTCTCACATTCACAATACCATTCTCTCCAGCAAACTTCAAATTTTCTTATAATATCTCAAATTTGGAGCAGAGATATGCTATTTGGCCTATTGAAGTGAGGGAACTACAAACAGTATGAATGAAACTCGAATTATTGCGTGTTCTGAAAAAACACAGCTGAACGGCTCAACTTATTTTCTTATCCTGCCTGGTAAGGCTAATATGAAGACTGTATAAAATTTTTCGCTAGCAACATGCCATCACTTATCGTGGTTCATCCCCGCATAATTTTATGGTGTGACAGATATTTGAAGATGCATTCGACCACGCGGAAGTACTGTACTAATCGGAGAGTTGCTAGGAAAGTACTGCACTGATCGAATTTCTCCATGATTCGAGTCAAAACGGCTTATTCAAAACGGTTCATTAAACTTTCGTAAACAAAACTTCCATGTATTGCGCTCATTTACGATGAACGCCGTCGCAAAATTCACGAGATTTTCTCCCATACAACTTTTCGATTGTACTCATTTGAAATGATCATTTTTCAGGTGACAGCAAAAATTGTAATTTGTGGTGCGAGTGAAAGTAACAGTTGCTAA